TCGCCATCGGAACTGTCCTTGTTCTTCTGCTTTATCTTCTTCTTCCGATGATGATACAGTGAAGCCAACGTGCTTGCTAAGTCTTTCGCTCCACTTCTCTTCTTATCGCTTCTACCACTCTTCTTCTCCGATTGATGTGATGCTGGTCTTGGTGGTGGTGGAGGTGGGGGTGGCGGCGGCGCGGGTTGTGATGGTGGTGGCTGCACGCGAACTTTCGTGAATTCCAGCACGCTATCATCGGGTTCTTGTGGTTTTTCTTTTCGTTCCACAGTTGGAAAGGTTCGCTTCCTTTTCTGCTTAACTGCCGGTGGTGGATGCGGAGGAGGAGGAGGAGGCGGCGGCGGCGGCGGCGGCGGCGCAGGTGCAGGTGCCGTTGGAAGAGGAGAAGGAGATGGAAGTGGCGACGATAATGACGATTTAATGGATGTAGGACGCTCCACAGAAGTATCCACTGGAATGGTCTTAAACTTAGAATCTTCGCTCTTGGTTGGTCTGTGTCGTCGTCGAACATGATCCGAACGCGCCCTGTATGGATTCACATCGGTGTCGTCATAGAAACGCCACCTGTTGTCACCGGAAACCCACGAAGATTCTTGCTTGAGATCCGGGTAGGAGCTGCTGTTCCTCCTCAAGAAACCAACGTTGGTGGAAGTGGAATTGGGGGAGGAGGATCCAATGGGATTGTAAATGCTTCGATCTGGATAATCAAACCAGTGACGTGGGGTTGATGGACGCGGTTTGTCGGCGACTTGAGAGATGCTGGCAACGTTGTTATGGTCGTCAGTGCCGGAGCCCTCATAGTTTCTCCGGCTGAGGATCCCACAGATAATAGCAACGAGGACGAGAAAGAAATTAAGCGAATCCCAGCTCTTCCTGACGAAACTGGGCCGAACAACGTGAGAAGCGAAGGAAAGAAACGAAGGAATAACAAAGAATAAGAGGAGGAGAACGGCGATGGGCAACACAACGAACAACACGGCGGGGGGATTGGAGAAGGGAGAGGAAGTACGGCGGTGGCTACGGCTGTGGGTGGTGCTGCTCTGCACCCAAAAGGGTGTCATGTCTGCATCTCCTTCCATAATTTCAGTTTGCTTTTCTAGCTTTTGCTTTGGCTTCTGGAGAGAGAGAGAGAGAAGAAAAGAAAGTGTGAGCTTTTTTCTCAGAGGCAAATATTTGCTTTATTGTATCGTGTGGTACAATTAAATATCATGATATAGAGTTGGCAAGAAAAGTTGGGATGAGCTACTAACAAAAGGCGTGTGTACAATGAGCTACGGAATCAATGTGGTGTGGGAAATAGAGATCGATAGAAGATAAAAATACTAGAAAAGTAGAAATACCACTAAAAAAATCCAGAGGCCAGAGGGGAGAGGGCTAGCTCTACTTTGGAGGTAGAGCGTAGACACGCAAAACACGGCTTTGAATGTTACATTTACAAACAAAGCCAACTCACTTCTAGATGACAGAGTTCAAACAATCCACCAACTGTTTGAAGAAAGAACAAAATAGAAGATCAGCCGCTTACAACTGTTGAACAGGTTGCACCAGTAGTTAAATTAAACCCACTTTACTGGACCACTGGAAAATGGAATCAAAACTCAAATGAACGGGGCAATGGGGGCATGGACTACTCTCTCTCTCTCTCTCTTCTGTTACAAAGTACATGCACGAAAATGTAGATTGAGGATAATTCGGTAGTTAGACTTTATTGTTAGCAGTACTCTGCTACTACTAGTAGTAGAGGAGAATAAATTTGTATTAATTTGATAGATTAGATTAGAGTTGTTTGAATATAATTGATCAATTGTGCCCTCTTAATAGAGAAATGATGAGATAAGATGATCCATCGTCTATATAGAAGTACCTTACAGCCCACTGCAGAATTTTAAATTCCATTATAGACATATAATAATTCAAAATGTTAAATACCCCCATTTTATACATCAATATCTGCCCATAAATTGACATCAATTCCGAATTGACATCTACCTCAACTGTACAGTGAAATTAAGAATTCTAACACTGGGCTGAACAGTCATTCTCCTTAAGATCTATCWACAGTCAACACCTCCTGTTATGATTGGAATCGATTGCTTGAGAGCTAGCATTTTAAAGATATCTCCAGCTGGCTAGCTGGAATTTTGGATTGAATTAGGTTGGGGTTGGGTTAGAAGAAATGTCCAGGTCCAGCATTACTCAACATCAATCAGGTATTCACACACCTTAAATTGGGGAAAGAACAACAGGGTTAATTGAATCCTTGTTCTTAAAATTAAAAGAGAAACACCCACCAAATTGAGATCAAATTCAGGTTGCTAATGGGATATTTTATCCAAATAGAACACAGAAAAACAAAACAAGGTTGGATTGGATTTGTTGGTCAGGTCAAATTCAGATTAAGCAAGGCGGCCAAGATAATTAACATAATGAATATTCAGATTATTAACATTAAAATATATTGTCTGGGACCCAATCATAATGGATTATCATCATATCTGATTATTTTTTTTTTCAGTAAAAGAGACGACCAAAATAGCTGGGATATTTGGGTTTGAAAAAATATAAATCGGCTATCTTGTAAAGAGGAAGAAAGCATAAAAAATTAACAAGAAATTGTATAAAATGGTGGTGAGGTTACTTGTTGTCGCAAGCATTACATTAACAAGTTTAGGAAATTTGAAGATTAGGAGAAGAAAGTGGTCTGTTGGTCCTGAAACAATCACGCAGGAAACTTCCTCTTTATTAAGTTACGTAACAGGGTTACTCCAAAGAAGATGGGCCATGGACAATTCTGCAGACAGCTTGGAAAACGACAACCAGACAGAGAGATAGAGAGAGGACTCATTTTCTTTTCTTTTTTYCATAGTTTTATTTACTATYGCTTCTATAAAATAATGGTCCATTCCCTTGATCCCTTACACTCTAAAAAAAGCAGAAGATTCGCAGAAAGTTTCCTTTTAAGTTTTAACAGCCTTTGGTTCCACTGAAATCAGTATGGATGATTAACTAGTGAGTTTGCTTTTATAATATTACCATTACTTACGCCATGTAAGGACACACAATAATAGTTCTCTGAAGATATTTAATTGTTTCTAAATTTGCTTTCATTAATTAATCAGAATTCAGCAAGTACTTCTAGTGGGTCATTTCTTCAAAGTCTTTTTCTCTGAATTT